GTCGATAACTAAATATTCAACATAGACAACCTGTAAATGGTCGCTACTATATAAAGTGCACATTGTACCTAAACAAACAATAAATAATTGTGAAATATCTAAACTAGTCTAGGCGGGATCTGTTTTGGATTGGACATTTTCCATAGGAAGCTATTTTTTTGCTGGAATCCCTTCAGGATGTGCCCAATATCGATAATCACGATATGCGCCAGTCGTAAACCCTGTGCTAAATTTTTTATTTAACAAAATCTGAAAACAATTAAAATTTCTCATTTTTTTGCTCCTATTTTCATTTATAATTCGGAAAATATTGATCCTAGAGAAAAACTTATAAGAAGTTAAAAGTTTCGTTATTCAATTTTACACACTATTTCGTTAGCTAGAAATTGAAAATTTAATGTTTATTGTTGAAAAAATAGCAATAATTGAAAAAAAAAGTACAAAAAAAATGAAGTTAATCCTTTAAATGTTTTCGGCTTTCCAAACTTGACTTACAAGCTCTATATTCCGCCTAGAAAAACTTTTTAATATGTTTAAAACTTGTGCTAAATTTTGTTAAAATCGGTCGGATAGGTTTTGCATAATAATTTTCCAATCCAGCCTACTGAAAAAAAAATCGCAAATTTTTAAATTTATAGGCCCTATATAAGGCCCTCAGATAGTTGCAAATTTTTTTGAATATAAAGGAAGGCTCAACCTTTTAAACGCTTTTTGTAAAATTCAAATCGGTTCACTAGGAGAGCCTAGAAAATGTTTTAAAGTTTTAAACAATTTTTAGGCTTATAAACAAATTGAATAACTTTACGATCTTTAAACATATCAATTTCAAAATTTACGCACTTAAAGCACATGAAAAGACGCTTCTTTAAAAAAAGACACATTCGGTTTACTGGCTGCCGAGATCTTGAAGGTCAAAGTTGGCATACATTTGCCGTGTAACCATAAGTGATAGAGGGCTCGTTTTAAACAAATACCCTCGTCTTGTCAAGTTATTTTTATATGAAAAGTTTTACGTAATGCGCTTCATGGCAACATCCATAAAAAAGACAAATAAAAAACCGTTTTCGCGTAAAATGGCGCTCGGAAAGCATGAGAGGTGGTGGAGGGGGACATTCACTCGAAATGTGAATCAGCGCGTTCAAAATCATAGCGCTCGCTAAAAATTGCATTATCTCGGTCTTGTTAACAAATTTTGCTTTTTTTTAATCGATGTCTCAGACGACAAAGATTTCAAATATCATATTTTCAAATACCATTTTTAATGACAAATTGAACATCGATTCAAAAAAAAGAGCAAAATTGGTTAACAAGAAGCAGAGAGATTTTGAACTCGCCGATTCACATTTCTAGTAAATGTCCCGTCAACCACCTCTCATGCATTCCGAGCGACATTTTACCAGTGGCGGCTGAAACCTATGTTCAAAAATTATGTTAAAGCATGTAAATAACTTGTAAATGTACTAAATCACTCAATACATTAACGTCCGTTAAAACAAATATGTTATTATATTACCTCAGAAAGCATCGTATCATATTCGGGCATTTTAAATATCATTAATAGGCCCGATCGGAACTAGCCGACCCAGCTGACATAAGATCCCCGTACAAAAAGCGTTTGAAGTTAAGCAGCTTGCCAGACAACGATTTTTATTGTCGTCTTTATGATTGCTGTTTAGGCACCAGACGATCGGGCCTACGCCCATCGTTGTCACTTGTAACGTAATTATCGACTTCGCAATATAAATTTTCTTTTAAATTATGATAAAAGAGCATGTAATATAATCTAGAATTGTAACAAATTTTTAAACAAACAATACAAATGTGTTGCATAAATAACTCCACATTTTTTGCATGCATCCTTGATGAAACAACCGATATTACTGAAAGGGCACAATGTTCAATAGTATGCAGATTAGTGGATACAAAAGGCGTTGTTCAAGAATATTTATAAGGTTTTTTTGATCTAGGGGAAGACCGAAGTGCTCCAGCGTTACTAGACTTACTGTTTAATGTAATTGGTAAATTTGACTGTAAAGCTAAATTAATTGTTTAAACCTACGATGGAGCTAGTGTCATGTCGGGACAACTTAATGGACTTCAAAAATTTGTGAGAGATGCTGCACCATTAGTAATATTTACCCATTGTTTACAGAAAAAAGTTTTTACAAGTCTTTCAGGACATATTGAATTGCCCAGAATCAAATGCAAAATCAATTAGGCGGGCAGATGGTTTTAAACGTAAGTTGGAGGATTTGGAATTTGTATTTTTATTAAATGTTTTTAGTGATATATTTGAACAAACTGAGCTCTTATACAACATCTTGCAGAAGAAAAATAATAATGTTCAATTGTGTGCAAATACGGTGCCCAGAAGTATTGCAATGTTAAAGAGCTGTAGAAATGACCTTACACCCTAACATGTTCTAACCATTTCAACATTGCTGTTAGCGAAACCAATTCTAAACCCATCTTAAGTTGTAGTGAACTTGATATTTTACCTGGTAGTTCATCTAATAACGGAGATCAGTTTTTTGGAGAAAGCTAAAACTAAATTTGGAAGTATCTTCTTTGAGATTTTGGACAATATTATCACTCAATTAGAGCAACGTTTCTCGGATTACAAAAAGTTTCAATAACTGGAATTGGGCGATAATAAAATATTCACAGAATATGGCGCTAAATTTACGATGTAATTTGCTGGTTTGGCCTACCCAAAATTTTACCACACCAGCTACCACTGCATTTTACGCGAAAACGGTTTTTTATTTGTCTTTTTTGTGGATGTTGCCATGAAGCGCATTACGTAAAACTTTTCATATAAAAAGAACTTGACAAGACGAGGGTATTTGTTTTAAAACGAGCCCTCTATCACTTATGATTACACGGCAAATGTATACTAACTTTGACCTTCAATATCTCGTCAACCAGTAAGCCGAATGTATCTTTTTTTAAGGACCGTCTTTTAATGTTCTTTAAGTATGTAAATTTTGAAATTGGTATGTTTAAAACTCGTAAAGTTATTCAATTTGTTTATAAGCCTAAAGAATGTTTAATATTTTTAAAAAATTTCTAGGCTCTCCTAGTGAACCGATTTGAATTTTACAAAGAGCGTTTAAAAGGTTGAGCCTTCCTTTATATTCAAAAAAATTTGGAAGTATCTGAGGGCCTTATTTAGGGCCTACTATAAATTTGAAAATTTGCGATTTTTTTTCAGTAGGCTGGATTGCAAAATAAATATGCAAAACCTATCCGACCGATTTTCACACAATTTAGCATAACTTTAAAACATAATATGTATTATTACAAAGTTTTTCTAGGCGGAATATGGAGCTTGTAAGTTAAGTTTAGAAAGTCGAAAACATTTAAAAGATTAACTTCATTTTTTTGTACTTTTTTTTCAATTATTGCTATTTTTTCACCAATAAACATTAAATTTTGAATTTCTAGCTAACGAAATAGTGTGTAAAATTAAATAACGAAACTTTTAACTTGTCTAAGTTTTTCTCTAAGATCAATATTTTCCGAATTATAAACGAAAATAGGAGCAAAAAAATGAGAAATTTTAATTGTTTTCAGATTTTGTTAAATAAAACATTTAGCACAGGGTTTGCGACTGGCGCATATCGTGATTATCGATATTGGGCACATCCTGAAGGGATTCCAGCAAAAAATACCTTCCTATGGAAAATGTCCTTTATGGTCTGAATTTCTACAGATCCCGCCTAGTCTAAACATAAACCAAAGGACACCAGAAACTCTAATAATGTGAAGGCTGATAATGATACATGTACAATATTCCTCATCCTATAATGATATTTTTATGAAAGTACATACGTAATAATGTTTATATATTTAGGATTAAGTAGTTGGGATCTTCTTGTTGATCCTGAGACCGTAGAACTTGTTTTTTTCTTTAAATAAGTATTTGCGCAACGCAAATATTTTGTCCGAAATGAAAGCAATAAAAATAAAAAACATTTGCAATGAAATCAAAATAATTACAAATTTGTCGATGATTATCAGGTAATTAAAAACCGACCAATCATATCATTCCAAGTAACATAATTTATTCCACAACCTACAGAAGTCAATACATCACATCCCCTCTGCAATTTTTTTCCGCCTTGTTGCCACTGATATGAGAATTTTAAGTAAACTCCTTAAAATATCTAATATTCCATCAGCAATATACGTACAACACATTAACGTATATTACATCTGTTGATCTATAATACTGTCTGCTGAGATTATTAATAGGTATAGGTAATAAGACCTCTATTGTAGCACATTAATGCCTGGTTGCACCAACATATCTTAAGCTTAAGACGTGCCTTAGGTAGGCCTCAGCTCAGAGTGATCGACCGACCACGACCAAACCGTGCGACGGAGATCAACCAAATTTTGTATTTTTATTTTTAAGAATATAAAGAATATTTTAGAATCGAAAATTATGGTGCAACGTAAGTGAGAGTTAAGGCAGCCCTAGCTATAAGCAGAGCTGGGCTAAGCTGGAGCTTAAGATCTATTGGTGCAACCAGGCATATATTTCCCATTGTTTTAAATATACTTATATACATAGACACATACCTATATTTTATTGTAAAGTACAATTTAAAATGTAATATCACAAAAGCTGTTTGGTAATTATTACTTTATTCATGGTATTTTCTTGATATGGTCTTGCCTCAAGAAAACATTTACCATTGTTTTTGGTTTATTCTACCTTTTTCTGGCATAATTGTACAGTATTTACTATTTTTTCTCCTTCTTTATGCCTTTCAACCTCATTAGGGCCAGTAGTACCACTAAGTATATTATTATTATTAAAAATGTGGAGAACACCTTCAATAGATTCTAACTCGATGCGTTCAATATATTTTACGAAGTTTAATTCCGGCAACGCAGCAAGACGTCACTGTCGTGTGTCAAAGCAATATGTTTGACAGTTTTGCCTACGCAAATAAATAAACAAGGAAATAAAATATTTATGGATTTACTTTAGTCGAATTTAGGTACTGTCGACATTACTCAACCATTTATTTTAAAACAGCAGATATTTCAACTTAAATTAGAAGCCGTCATCAAAAGGTAAAGAGCTGACATTGCACCAATATGGAACTATTTTAAAATATGGTAAACTTTTAGGTACCCAAGAACACAGAAAAATGAGTAATGAAGGATTTGACCCTTGCCAGATAGTTCGAGGATTATGGGAACATGAAATGTCTATGAGAAGGCTCCTGGATGTGGTATGTGTTTGCAAATAGTTGAAACAAGAATAAGGTTTTTAATCATAAATATTTTAGTTGAGGAACTCCCAGTCCTACTGTACTGATAATGAATGTCTAGATAATGGTAAGTGCCTAGTAAATTATTATCATTAAATTTTTTTAAAAAACTCTTCCAGACTTTGAATAACATTATTAAAGTTTATTTTTAATTAGAAACAACTTGAGGACTATTAAAATATTTTAAAACTTAGTGTTGATTTGATTGAATCATAATTACTTCCTGATATTTTCTTATCTTGAATACATTTGCTAAATAAAGATAAACTTGTATGTAGGACAGTTTGTGTTTAAAACACATCATAATATAGTAATTAAAAATCTTCACAAGGCTAACAAATAAAAAACAATAGTGTAAAGGTTACTAAAATTGTATGATTTAATTAAAATCTGATTAAATTTACTTTTTATTGGTATTTATTACAAAGTGTGTCATTAATATTGTAATATATATTTTAAGTTTTACATAGTTTTGAATATGCTTCAGCTAAATTTATGTATGTCTTGTATTTACAAGCTCTGGTTATGCCATGGCGTTATTTGGCTTTATAATATATTTTGGGATTTTTTTTTTGACAATGTACCTAGTTAAAATGTGAACAAGGAAAACATAATCAATTACCAATAGAGAAGTGTAGAAAATATATTTTTGCACTGTATTTCATTTTAATGGTGCCTTGTACTGTACTTTTGAACAATGCATACTAAAACATAGATAAGACTCTATCAGTAGATAAATTTTCCATTTAATTTTCATACTGATGATGTTTTATGACCTGTGAATTTAAATACTATTATTATTTAGTAAAACAATGTTTCAAATGTGTTCAAAACGGACCAGAACAGTATAAAACTTTGTACACACACACACACACACACACACACACACACACACATATATATATATATATATATATATATATATATATATATATATATATATCAAATTATTCTCGACTGTACTGTGTTAAATATTATTTGTAGTCTCAGCAATTGGTCTGTATGAAATGAAGCTCTGTTATTTCTCAATATTTCGTCACAATTTTGTGACTTCTTCAGGAGAAAACTGTAAATTTATTATAATTATTATATGTAAACAAAATGAATATTTCAATACTTACAACTTAAGATTAAACATTTAAATTTTCATAACATATCCAATTTAAATAAATGACATTTTTTTTTATTTTAATTTATTTGGGAGTTATGGTAACCACAATATTTTATAGAGTGAATTCCCATTGTACAATTTTCAGCGAATAAGTTTTAGTAAACAATTACATATTGTGACAGTATTATCCATATAATAAGGTGCAAAAGTAGAATATTGAGAAAGAATCAGGAACATGGTAAATTGATCTATAAAATGTAATTGATGGTACGTAGTCAGTTATTGGTCTGATGTTGTTAGATACTGATATTAAGATCTATCATATCATATATTGTTTAGTATATTACAGTAGATATTACTTAAATGGTTGGTGTCTGTCTTATAATTGATAGATTCTGGGGTTTTATTAATGTGTACCATTTCAAGGAAAAGTCGATTTTTATAATTATCAATTTGTTCCAAGATTTTTACATTATTAAAGTCAAAGTTATGTCCTGTCTTTAAGTGGTGGTCCACTAAGGCACAAGAGTTTTTTCGTAAGTTACAGTCACTTTTGTGTTGAGTGACACGTTGTTTAAGCCACTGTTGACTTTGTCCAATATAACAACTTTGACATTGACTGCAATTTATTCTATAAATTATATTACTCATTAGTGAATTTGGAGTTTTAACTTTTATTTTTGAGAACAACCTTGAATTTAGAAGTGGATTGTATTTAATTAATTTAATGTTCGGAAATGTTTTGAAAAGTGGGACAATTTGGTCTGTTAAATTTTTTATGTAAGGTATTTTTTTGTATAAAACTGGTTGTTGATTATTTATTAAAGCTCTATTGTGAAAGTGAGTGTTATACATAAGTTTTTTTAATATATGTTTTGGGTAGCCATTGTTTAAAAACATTTCAAAAAATTTCTTTAAATTGACATCTAGGAAACTCCGATCACAGATTGCCGTTACACGATTTTTCATAGATTTTTCATTTTTCTAATCATCCTAGAAATCAAAAATTCAACTCAATTATATCTATGCATTCGTCGTCCATTTTGTTTTGCAACATTTAGAAAACACAGATTTTGACTGTATCCTGAATTTGATTTCCTATTTATATTCCCATTAGTTGTTTTAGTTAATTCATTTACTTTTCCAGCTAATTTATAAAATTTGCGGTGATTTATTAACATTTAATTAGTTTTTAAAGGGAATTTCCTAAATTTTGACTTAATTCTTCATTATTTATTCTTATTTTCTGTCCAAAAAATTAACTTTTTTTTTAATTTCTTTAAGTTTTTTAGCTGATTTCTAAAATGTACCTATGGACTTTTTTATTCATTTAATTAGTTTCTTCATTTTGTTTTAGTTTTTCCGTAATTATTTAGTTTTTTTTTAATCATTCCTAAATAGTTTTAGATGATTTCTAAACTTTGTGGTAATTTATTAAACACGTAATTAGTTTTTTACGATAATTACCAGGTTTTCAGATAATTCTTGTTTTTTCTTAGTTTCTTCCATGAATATTTAGTTTTTTAGTTCATTTATTCACTTTTCTAGTTAATTTCTAAAATTTGTGTCAGTTCCTTGAATATTTAAATAGCAAGGAAAAGCATTTCTAAATTCTCAGTTATTTCGTCAATTTTTTCCTAGATTTTTCCGTGAATATTTAGCTTATTAGTTAATTTATTCACTTTTCTAGTTAATATTTAAAGCTTTTGGTATCTTGAACATTTAAATAGTTTCTGAAAAGAAACGTTTAGAAACGAATTTCTAAATGTTGAGTTAATTTTTGAAATTTTTCTTAGACTTCACTGTGTAGATTAAATGTTTTGATTATTTTTTTTTTATTTTGTAGTTGATTTCTAAAATTTACGCTAGTTTCTTGATAATTCTCAGTTTTCAATTCAGAATTGACAATTCAACCTTAGTTTTTTCTGTAAATACAGAGTTTTTTACTTAACTTCTTTAGTTTTTTCTGTATTTTTTAATTTAATTCAATTTCCTTCATTTTTTAGTTAATTTCTCAAATTTTTGATACTTTCTTGAATCCCTAATTAGTTTGTTAAGGAAATTTTTAAGTTTTTAGTTATTTTTGTTTGTTTTATCGTAGTTTCTTCCGTAATTATTTAGGATTTTATTTAACTTCTTCAGTTATCTAGTTAATTTTTAATTAATCCTTTACTTATTTTAGTTTCTTCCATCATTATTGTTTTTTAGTAAATTTCTTTAGTTTTTAGTTGATTTCTAAAATCTGTATTAGTTTCTTGGATATTTTATAATGTTTAATACCTAATTTCTAAAATTTGTGCTGGTTTCTTGGTTGCAAAACTAATTTTTTAATTAATTAAGTTTAGAATTAATTCTTACTAGTGAATTACTTAGTTTTATAGCTTTTTTATCATTTTCCTTAGTTTTCCGGATATTATAAGTAAATACCTTTTGTAATTTTGTAAATATTTAATTTTTTGTTTAATCCTTTTTCCTCTTTATTCATCTTTCAAATAGATTTTTAGGACTAAAAAAAGTTTTATTCCTCTTTAGAGGTAATTAGTTACATTTATTGCCAATATAGGTTAGTTCCGAATGTTTTAATACAAGTTTTTTGGAAAAATGATTTTTTATATTGGTCACAACGTAATCTGTTACTTTCAGGAAGTAATTCTTCGGTCGCCAACCCAGATTACATGTTGCTTGTAGTACTTGCTATGTTCACTGCAGTATTTTTGTACTATTTTCGTCCAGGTGCCCAAACTGTTCACGGAGACTCGAAACCACGCAACAACGGCAATGTAAGTTACTAAATAAATTTTATAATATATAATATTATTTTATAATTAGATATAGTAAGGGACAAGTTCTATTCTTCTTCTTCATGTACCATGTCCTTTCAGAACGTTGGTTACCATCATAGCTGTCTTAATTTTATTCACTGCCACCCTAAATAGCATGCTTGTATCAACACCATACCAATCTCGCAAGTTCTTCAACCATCAGGTTCTTCTTCATCCTGGACTGCGTTTTCCTGTCCGTTTTATTATCGATTTTATTCGCAGTCCAGGACTCGACACCATAAAATAACACTGAGAACACGTAGCAGCGAAGTAGACGGATCCTCAATGCCAATTTTAGGTCTCTGTTACATAACACCTTGGACATACTTCTAAAAGCAGTTCTAGCCTGCTCTATCCTAGATCTAATTTCGCCGTGACTTTCTGCGTTACAATTTAATTGCTGTCCAAGGTAAACGATTTTATGAACTTGCTCAAGTTCGGTACTATTTACATATATAGACGGTTTTATATGCTGTTGTTTACTTATTACGAGTATTTTGGTTTTCCGTATGTTCAGAGCCAGACCTGCCTCCTTACAACTCTCAACGACACTATCAAGTAGTGTTTGCAGATCTTCTTGACTAGAAGCTGTATCGTCCGCATATCGCAAATTATTGATGATTTCGCCGTTCACAAGTATTCCTTCTTGTTTTTCAGAAAGTGCTTTTCTGAAAATTCTTTCGAAGTAAACGTTGAAAAGCAGGGGTGACAAGAGGCATCCCTGCCATACTCCTCTTTTAATATTGAGAGCCTGTGATTCCACACAATCTACTAAAACTGATGTTGTTTGATTCCAATATAAATTTGCAATTATTCGAACATATCTGCGGTCCAAGCCAATTCGAAGTTCTATGCGAAATTTTAAAGACCAACCTGCTGATAATCCGCTATTGATACCTATTGCAACACAGACCCCTAGAGAGACATTACAGAGTTGTACTATCCTTTATCCAACATTCAAATAAAATTACCGGAGTAGTGTTTAATTTTGCAGTTACGAAAATAAGTAGACATTTTGTTTTGTGGGTTCGTCAATGAACACTAATTATTGGTATACACAAAAAGAAGTAAAACTTATTCCAAATCATCTTCATTAAATATTTTTGTGAAATGTTATCAAAAATATGATGTCCTTCTTTATAACATTTAAAAATAATTAAGAGAAATTCCTGCGGTTGTCCTAAATACAAATTTACAAACAATTTTTTCCGGTAATGGCTAAATTTTCGTAGAATAATTAAATGGGACAGGATCATTGTGATAATATTTAAATTACGAAATTAGTCATTCTTATGCAGTATATTTTGTGGTTTTTCAGCCAGAGTTTGTCAAAAAAAAGTGATGTGATAGGTATATTTAGTATTTTGGCGGCCATGGGAAAGTGATGTGCGTTTATCTGATGAAAATGAACCTACGGATAATTTAGAAGATGAAAGTGCGGAGCCAAGTACTCAGTAAAGAAATAATTTGTATGTAGTTGAGTAAAATATGGTTAGATGTATTTGATGGACTTTCTAAAAAATGGCCAAATATGAAGCTGTTAAGCAAACGGCGGTTTTAACAAAAATTTCTTGTGCAACAGTGTACAGTTTAATAAAGATAGGTTCGAAAAGTAGAACAAGAATGGATTTGGGAAGCTCTAAAAAAATTCAACCCTCTTGGAACCTATTATTGAGACAATATATAATTATGCAGCTAAAGTTATGCCTAACCTAAACAATATCATAGCAAAATTAAAAGAAAAACATATTGTTGATGATTGTTCCACAAAGACTTTGGGAAGATTTTTGACCAAAAATGGTTTTAAATATAAAACTGTTAAATATAAAACAATAAGAAATAAACCATAATGGAAAGTAGCCGCCCAATAAAATGGAGGAATGAATATATCGAAAAAAATTTACAATACCGCAGTGAGTGTCGAGAAATTAATTATCTGGACGAGACTTGGTTTGATGAGGAATGAATATATCGAAAAAAATTTACAATACCGCAGTGAGTGTCGAGAAATTAATTATCTGGACGAGACGGTTTGATTCTCACGAAAGGATAGATAAAACCTGGACAAACGGTACAAGAAAATACCAAATAGATGTACCCCATTCTAGAGGCAAGCAAATTTGTATATTACATTGCGGAGGACAACATGGATGGGTGAACGATGCGTTATTGTTGAGTTCCAAAAGTATTAAAGACAGTTCTCTAGAGTACCACCAAGACATCGAAGGGACACTTTTTGAATCGTGGTTTGAGAATACATTACTGCCAAATTTAAAAGAAAATAGCGTGATTGTTATGGACAGTGCATCATATTTTATCACTCCAGATGCATTAAAAACAATTCCAACCAAACAGAGTAGGAAGGATGAAATTCACGAATTTTTAATAGCCGAAGATCTATATTTTGAGGATCATTACTCCAAAGATCAACTAATTCAGTTTTCATCTACTTTATAATTATGGTAAATGACCAGTCATTGCCACTATAAGAAAGTTAAAGCTAAAAACCATATAAAGCCAAAAAACCAATAATTGCCACACAATTTTTCAAAATACCAATTATTGACACCAGTCATTGCCATACAGAAATAACTCTACATTTTACTGAAAAATCTTGTTTATTAATAAAAATTCCACAGGTTTTAGGCCTCAAATACATCCACTGGCAAAGTAAATTCATAACGGATCAGTTCACCAGTGGATAAAATAATAGGGGTTGGCGGTATGCCTAAAACACGATTTTCGTTAACAAAGTATATGTATTTTTCATCACAAATAAAAATGTTCTTTTCAGCACTAACAGATTTCATAGACATTACTTGTACATCATTATTGTCCATAAGGCCTTGTATAATACAAACATATCTGTATGTTATAGATTTTTTTTACCACCTAGGAATTTCACAAGTACATAGTTTCCCACACTAAGGCCGTTATTAGACTAGGCAACTGGTGGCGCCACCAAGTTTCTCCACTAGGTACTCAGTGCGTCACGGGGCATTTAAGTAAATGCGACCCATTAGACTACGGCAACTGGTTGCGCCACCAAAAATTGTTGTCGTTCTGGTGACCAATTTCAGCCACCAGACGGGTAACATGATCTGGTGGCGCCACCGAGTTGGGGCATTATGTTATATGTACCCTATTAGACTAAAGCAACTAGTTGCGTGACCAATAGTTCATTTGTATATAATCGAATTATATTTTTTCTATATCCAAGCAAGAAATCAAAAATATAAGTTATTTTTAACTAAAATTGTCGTTTATTGCCATTTAATATAGTAATTAATATAATAATATAAGTAATATAGCTATGTTGGAATATAGTTAATAGTAATATAAATAATATGTATGTATGTAGATGTTATTAGAGATTTTCATTTAAAGTTACCTTGAACCTATTTAAAGTTTCTTCACCCGGCTTTCCTTCAAAATACTTAAGTGCTTAAGTGACACTCTTTGTGTCACAAAGCTTGTCAAAAACAAGCGAAACCATTTGGGCGAAACATTCACTGGGACGGCTATGAATAAATGATTTCTCTCTCTCTGTAGAATTTATTATTTTCTGAACTGTATCCAAAAGCTGAACTTTTGGAACAGGAAAATGTCTTTCTGATAGATGTAAAATCCATTTCACTAAGACTGATTCATCTTCTTCGGTTAAAATTGTAAAAAGGTCCATAGAACAAAATAATGGTGACTTTCCATCTCTCTTATGCCTCTAAGTACTATGAGGAATTGCATGAATTTTTGCTGCCAAATTGCTCTTTCAAATAATTCCTTTTAGGTGCCATTTCTGGAATGAATAAAATACTTGTAATACCAAATATTAATGTAACCAATGAGCTACTTTAGAAAGAGTGATTGCCACCACTGGCAATAATTGGTAAAAGTAAAGTTTTTGCAATAAAAAATAGTGGCAACACCGTAATTTTAAACAGTAAATTTACACATTATAATGAATTAAAAATAAGCCAAACCAATAATGGCCACTTGTGGCAATGACTGATATTCATAAAAAAAATTGCAACCAGTCATTGCCAGATACATTTCTTTAGAAATATGTACCCTTAACTGAATTTAAACAGCAAACAAATGTAGTTTAGAGTATTTAAGAGGAGCACATGTGTAAATAATTTTATAAAGCAATCATTTACAAAAGTGAATAAGAAAAAGAAAAATGTACTTACCTTAATTTTTTCATAAGAAATCACAAAAAATAGGAAGAAAGAAGAAACACTACTCTAAGGGGTATACAACAAAAATGGCTGATATTTGGTTATTGTACAACAGTATACAGTTGCCAAACTTAATAAGGTATTAGTACTTGCAAAAAATATAATTTGATTTCAAGTAATTTTCTTATTTTCTTAGAATTTAAGGGTCAGTGGCAATAATTGGTAGAGTGGCAAGGACTGGTTGTTTACCTTACGTAGAAATTACATTTATCCATTACTTTAGGAGCTTACTGTATAATATATTAATATTAAGTGTTCATTGACGAGCTTAGCTCCGTTAATAAAAAAAACTTGTGAATTAACCAAAAGAAAATTTTTATTTTCGTAACTGAAAAAATATTTTATTTTGCCAGTCTTAATTTTGAGAAAAGGTGAAGGTAAATTTTTCTAAATACTATATTATGAGGAAGTTTACTTTAAAAATAATCAGTAGTTCGATCAATTGGTAAAAACATTTAAATACACAAATTAATAATTCGAAATTCAACACTTTCTAAGATAATTTTATTTGAATGTTGGATACAGATTAGTACAACTCTGTAAATGTCTCTCTGGGGGTCTTTGTTACAATAAGTATCAATATCGGATTACTATACTCTGTCTCAAAGTGACTAGTCTGTACAGGGAAAGATATGCAATGCTAACCTTATGGGAATTTCACCAAGACGTTGCCAGTTTTATGCATTGAGCGATGGAGTTCTCTATTGTCTATCTTTCAAA